TTGAGAAATTAGCGACCAAAAACTCTTACAGAGCACAGTTCTCCTCTGATAAACATGGGAGCTCCATGAGTTGGTATTAACTTGGTACTTGTTGTTGTTGTTAAGTGCTGTCAAGTCAAATCTGACCCATAGCCACCCTGTATAGGGTTTCCAACAAGCAGCTGGTGAGCTTGACCCACCGCCTTGCAATTCAAATGGCTTTGCAGTCTGGCGCATTAACCCACAGTGCCACACCAGGACTCCTGGTTTGGTACTTGTTGTTGTTGTTATTAGGTGCCATCGAGTCAGTACTGATTCATAGTGACCCTCTGCACAATAGAATGAAACACTGCCCAGTCCTGGGCCAACCTCACAATTATTGCTTGAGCCCATTGACGCTGTCACCCTACCAATCCATCTCACTGGGGGTCTTCCTTCTTTTCTGTGACCTTATTAAACATGATATCCTTCTCCAGCAACTGGCACTAATATATACTCAATACTCATGTCCCAAATGATACACTGTGCATGTGAGTTCTTTGACAAACACACCAAAACACAAAACATTGATTTTCTCATGGCCTTGTAGATAGAAATTGATAAAGTCTGGGAAGTGTCCAGCCAGAATTGTGGGTAACAGTAGTAAGCAGCTAGAGGACACTGCATTGCATATTTCTGTGTTCCTAATTAGAGCCTAACACAGTAGCACTGGTCCTATTTTGAAAAAGATTGAAGTTGTTAAAGACTTCATTTTTCTTGAATCAACCATCAACACTCATGGAAGCAGCAACAAGAAATCAGATGACATATTGTATTAGGCAACTCTGCTTCACAAGACCTTTATAAAGTGTTGAGGAGCAAAGATGTCAGCTTGAGGACTAAGGTGCACCTGACCCAAGCATGGTATTTTCAATAACCTCGTATGCATGCAAAAGCTGAACAATGAATAAGGAAGATTGTAGAAGAATTGATGCATCTGAGTTATGGTTGTTGTTGTTGTTAAGTGCCATCGAGTTGGTTCCAACTCATAGCAACTCTAAATAGGGTTTCCGAGGAGTGACTGGTGATCTTGAACCACTGACTTTGCAGTTTCAAATGACCTTGCAGTCTGGCGCATTAATCCACAGTGCCACACCAGGACTCCTGAGTTATGGTATTGGAGGGAATATTGAAAGTGCCATGGGCCGCCAAAAGAACCAATAGATCCATTTTAGAAGAGCAGCCAGAGTGCTCCTTGGAGGCCAGGAAGGCCAGACTTTGTCTCTCATACTTGGGATATATTGTCAGGAGGGACCAGTCAACTAGAGCTGGATATCATGTTTGGTAAGGTGGAGGGTCAGAGAAAAAGAGGAAAACCTCCAATGAGATGCATTAGCAAAGTGGCAGCATCAATGGGCTCAAGTGTGGCAACAATTGTGAGCTTGGCCCAGGACCAACCAGTGTTTCGTTCTGTTGTGCATAGGGTCACTATGAGTTGGTACCAATTTGATGGCACCTAACAACAACAACAACTGATACTTTTTAGTCATAAGTCTTGAGTCGATCACTTTGCGTCCCAGAGTTTTGGTCTCCCCCAACAAACTAAGATCACAGTTTCTAGTCAGCATGCTTCCGGGGCTTCCTGTGAATAGAGATGAAGTAATATGCATGAATGTGCATCATATACAGGAAACACATGCCATGTGGCAGTAGTACTAGATTCACTTTATTATAAATAATAATAACAACAGTTGGCAAATACTGAACACTCAACATGGACCCAGCATTGCTTATGAATTATCTCATTTTATTCTTAAAACATCCTTAAGAAGTAATTCATTTTAATTAGTTCCATTTAAAAAATGCAGAAAGGGAACCATAGAGAGATTAAGCAGTTTTCCATACTGATAACCAGTGTGATGCTTGAGACTGGCGCCAAATAGTATATGCCCATTTGGATCATTGACACCTCTTTGTGTCTAGGTACATCAGCCTATCATTCAGTCCTCCTCACAACCACCCAGTTCTGATTTTCCAAATGAGTTGATTAAATTGGTATCTACCAACCTAAAAACTCCACCTGCACCTACCTGTGTGAGTGGATCTGTGGCAACATGGCAAGTGATGACCAAGTGAAGAGAAGGTGAAATTTCTGAGAGGACTAGAATTGCTCACTGCTCTTATTCTTTGTAACAAGATATACACTTGTGTGTGTTTCCTGTCTCTAAAATGCAAAGACAACCCAGACTTCCTCAGAGTCAGGGACTCCTCCAGATTTTGTCTGAGAAAGTGATAAGCTTATGGTATAATTTGCTCAGTGCTATGGGCCTGTCATTTGGACATATTGTCCGGAGGAAACAGTCGCTGGAGAAGGATGTCATGCTGGGTAAGATGGAGGATCAGAGAAAAAGAGGAAGACCCC